TAAAGTGAAAGACATGCAGGCAGTGAAATGAGAAGCAGAAGTATCCCTTTTATTTTTTTTGAAAAATCACAAAACTCACAAATGGAGGAGCTGTCAGTGACTTGCATGCATTTGTATTTGAAATGTAAGGAAAATACTTTTCCACTGACTTTTTTTTTTTGGGGGGTGGTATGTCAACAGTACTAATAGTTTAACATTGTAACAGTACTAATAGTTTAACAACACTAAATGTTTAAAAATTTTCAACACTTGCTGCACCTAGCAAGCTTCGATTTCTTCAAATAAAAGATTTATTTCTGTCCTTAATAACTTTTTTTAAGTGCAAAAAGAACAGATGGGTATTGCCATGCTGTTAGAAGTGCTTTGTCTATGACAGTACAAAACTGTACTTTGAAATTTCAATAATAAGTATCAACTTCTCAGACAAAGAAATTTTACTGTAGATTATAGAACATGAACCAGCGTATCAGGAAGATATTTTTTAAAATGTTCAATACATTATTGCTGTGGATTGTTAATAGTTTAGTTTCTGAAAATCTCCAGAATGTACTGAACCCAGAAAATTGTACTATTGTAAAAACAAACAAAAACCAAGAAGCACTTTTGAAAAATGAGACATAATCAAATAATATTACTAAAAAATCATGAACAGAGTACTAGTGTACAGATGTGTTGTTACTATCCAGGAATTACTCTTTGTGAAATCCTTTTGTGGCTCTGCTGCCCTTAGATTACTGCTTTGGGTTGTTGTATCTATGCAGAGATAGTTCATTCTTTGGTCTTGAGATTATTTGTTGTATAGGTGAACCTCACTGTATGCCTTTGCAAGCTGCAGTATTTCTTAAAACATCACTTAAACTCCACCTGTTGTTACAGTATTGTGATGTGCTCAAAGGTACTGAGCACGTGACAATTAAAGGATTGTTGCTTAGTTATGCAGCATTTGAATCATATATCCCAAATGCTGGCAAAACACATTACAAACAATATCTAGTAAAACCATGAAAGCTGCTGAGCATTTGAAATGCTTTTTGGCTTCATAATACATCTAAAGGTCTTCTCTTCGGTCAGCAGCGCTCTCTGAGGTCTCTGCTCCCTAAAGCAATTTGAAGCCGTAGGAATTCTGCTCTCGCAATCACATCTCTTGTACCTGCGGGAGGCTAAAGCTCACTGCCTCTGTAAATCACATTGGTTCTCCTGCACTTGGTGTTTACTGTTGTTCTTCTTTTTTTCCTTGACAAATGCTACTTTGATAAATTCAGTTTGGCAGGCATGCTTGACGAAGAGTCTTTGTATTTATCGCTCCTTTATATACATGATTTATTTTTCTCAAAGTCAACCGCTGACATCATTCCCAGTCTCCTCTCTCACTCTATCAAATTACTGCTGGTAATATACATCAGTTGTAACTGTTTTTTTAAACTTAATGCTGGGTTCCAATCATAGCCAGCTATCTGAAGGGAAGCTGATTTTTCAATGGTATAAACAGTACTGTTGAAGCTAGAAGTGGTTAGTAGTGCTGCAGTGTGTGTCAGAGCACATGTGGGCTTCCTGTGTCTGGTTTTGGGTGCCCCAATATGAGAAAGACATTGACAAGCTGGGCAGAGCCCAGAAGGCTTTCCGGGTGATTGCATGGGGTGCGAGGAAGGACTGGGGGCACCATGCTTCTTTGTCCTGCAGAGGAGAAGGCTAAGGGCGGGCAGGGGGTATCTTCTGCTACCTAATGGGAGGTTTTGAAGAAAGTGGAGCCAGACCCTTCTCAGACATGCATAACAAAAGGATCAGGACAACAGGCAAACTGCAAGAAGAGAAATTCTGATAAAGTGTTAGGAAAAGAAATTTTACAGCAAAGATGGTGAGACACTGGAGCAGGGGCCCAGAAGGCAGTGGATACGTACAGATTTTTAAAAACTCATTTATTAGAATGAAAACCTTTTAAGCAATGTTGTAATCAACCTCAAACAAGAGGTAACTCTAAATTAAAAAATAGTTTATTTAGAATTTATTTTTAATTGATCCTTGATGAGGATCTTTAACAAAGGTAGTTGGACAACTTCTAATAAAATATTGCAGTACATGTAGTAGTATACTTAGGGACTAAAACTGCTTATAGGTTCTGTGATTGACAGGCCCGTTTCATTTTTTCATGAGGAAATAGCCTCAGTGAGGCTTTTAAATTCAGCATGTATAATCCATGTTCCTTCTCCTCTCTCTTTAAAAAAAAGTTAACTTTTTTTATTAAACTGGAGTAGTAACTCTGAAACAGAATGGACTTTTTTTTATGACTATTGATTTTCAGTTAGGGTTATTAAGATAGTCTTTCAAAAAAACTGCATCACAGGAATCCAGTTGAATGCTTTCTGATAAGGACAAAATTAGACCGTATTCAAAGGAAGAGAGTATGTTTGAAAGATGTTTTAATATTATCTGCTAATAAGGATATTGGTCATGTGTTAAAAACTTGTGGATATATTCCAGGCATGTGGGAGTTCCTAAGCTGTTGAAATAAAATGGTAAAGAATTAAATTTCAATATTGAGAGAATGTGATCATTTTGAGGAAAAGCAGTACAAGCACACAGCTGAAGAAGATGCTTTAATCATCTTAAAATGTGAGTCTACAGTTAGACTCCCGAAATGCCACAGATTTTTTCTCTTTAATTCTGAACACATACATGGACTTTCAATCCACAGGGCTGAGAGATAATTTATGGCCTTCGTATTAATGCTTAATTATACTTAGAGGCTACATTATGTTTCTGTGCCAGACCACCGAAGACAAGTAAGTAAAATTAAAAAAAGAGACATCAAGTCTCATCTCCAGTTGCTGTGTACAGTGTCTTGTCATTAAGCTAAATGAAATAACATTGATGTTAAAGAAAATTTGGGATTTTTTTTTTTTTTTACTTCATTCATCAGGTGGAAAGGAATGTTGGAGGCAGATTTGTGTCCATGGCAGAATTTAGACCCCTTCTGGCATTTCTGGACCCCACTATGGGTTGATTGTCTCTTGGATTCTGCATAGTGGTCTTAAATGAAACTAGGTTATTTTGGTAATGAAGATGAATCTAGCAATCGTTTAAAAAATAGGGAAACAAAATCAGAAATTGGGTTAGGTCCAAGAAATGTATAGTCCAATATTGAAAACTTTCTAGGCAATTAAAGCCTGCCAAAAAAAAAAAGAAGGTCCTTCCAGTCCATCAGAATGAGTTTTGTCAGTTTCGGTTGGTTAAAGAATGGTTAGGTTTATGATTAACTTTAGATGCTGAGTACTTCAGCACTCCATGCCTTTCAGATTAACTTGAAACACCTTTGCAATCTAGAGGGTGTGATATGTAGCGGAAGGAGGTGGGTTCTTGTTACGGTGATCTGGCAATGAGTGCATTTTTACCCAAAATTGTAACCCAAATTTTATCCAAATTTGATGCATTCTAAATTGATATATAACAGCTGTGCTGGGTAAGGCTATATGCAGCCCAAGAACCTGCCTGCAATGGCAGGCAACAGACATTTGAATAAAATTAGGTGGGAGTCATCCATTTTTGTTATGAGATTAAAGATCTCTCAGGTATTGTCTATCTGTATAAAATGCTGTCAGTGTTTTCCTCTCAATTGTTCAGAGAGGGAGCCACTGCCATAATATACTTGTCTGATTTGTTTCTGTAGTGAGACTCAGCCAGCCATGCCTTAACCTCACCAGCCTTTCTGCTGGTATCTCCGTCTCTTCTCGCTATAGTATAAATGAAACCTAGGCTTGTCCCCTGCTATCTTTACTGAGCTCTTCTCTTGCGAGTATCAGCACTGGTTACGATCATGTGTGAAATGGCACACTGGATCTAGGTCACTTCCACCCTACTGCAATGTATGTAAAGGAAGGATGCACATATAAAGCCATGGGACACGTTGCTTATAGCAGTATCGCAGCACAGTACCATCAATCGAATTACCAGCATTGTTTCTTGAACATTCACTGTTAATAATAATATTAAAACTTGATTTAGAAGAATAAAGCATTTAACAGAATTATGTTTTAACAAACTTCCGTTCTTACAGCTGAAACACTTAGAATTTCATCATTTGCCAAGTAACTGTTCAACAAGGCAGCATCTCCTGCCATGTTGATGTGAATCCTTTGCAATAAGTTAGGCAAAACAAAACAAAAATCCACAGCAAGACCCCTGTCTTGTACTGGGATCCCAGCGCTGGGCCCTAAACTCTGGATGTATCTCACCAGTGCTGAGTAGAGGGGAAGGATCACCTCCCAGGAAGCTGCTGGCTTTCTTTGCTGTAAGGGCATACTGCTTGGTCATGGTCATGGTCAGCTTGGTGTCCACCAAGACCCCCAGGTCCTTTTCTGCAAAGCTGCTTTCCAGCCACTTAGCCACCTGGCGCCAGAAGTCATGAGCTTCCAGCCCCCTTCCTCATAGGACTCCCACCTGGATAATCTCAGACTTTGCCTGCTCCTCCTTTGGTACCTCTGGAGGTTCAGGCCTGCGAAGCCACAGGGACTTGGAGGAGATACGTTCCATCTCTTTCTTGTGATCTCTGATGCTGTCCAGGCTGCTGACTTCCTCTGTGGCACAGATGGTCCACCACTGCACAGCTTCTGCAGGTGCTCTGAAGATAAAACTTCCCTGTTGTCTTGGCCTCCTAGGAGGCTGGGACCGATACTGGTATTTCATACTAATTTGAAGAAAGGCGAAGGATGTGTTTAAGACCCTGCACCTGAAATTTCAAGTGTTCTCCCATCCTCTTGCACTTGTTTTCTGGCTGCATGTTTAACCTTGTGTCTTTGTCATGAGCAATAATGAAGATTTGTGAATGCATCTTTGCAAAATCTGACTTCTTTGTTATTTTGGGACTTTCTCCATTTGTCAGTCTGTGAACTTGGTTAGGTGCATTGGTTCTTGGTTTTCTGTCTTTGACTGAAATTTCACAGGTTTCACAAAAAGCTGCTAAATTTTACTCATTTTCTGTGCAACTAGAAGCACTGTTGGTCACAATGTTGGCTACTGCGCAGGCCAAGGAGGTTTTTGAATTTAAAGACTCCTTTCTCAGAAGGGTAACTAAGTAATGGATTGCTGGATGAGAGGAAATGTCAGTTACTCCACCACAGTGCAGAAGCCCAGTGGCTATGAGGTGAGGGGAGATCTACTATCACTTGAAAATAAGCTTCCCCATTCATGTAAAATTAAACATCAGAAAATAGTAAATAATCTGAATTTATATTACAGCCTGTTTTCCTGTGGCATCTGGCTGAAATTAGGTTCTACTCTTCTAAATCCATTTGTTAGGGTAGCCTGCAGCTATGAGGAGAAATTAAAGTTCTGTAATGTTATTTGATGAGAAGTTCATGCCTTTAATTCCAGAAACTGGAATAGCTGAGCTCTCTGTAGAGGTCAAATAATACATAATGCCAAATAATAAATCATATCAAGGATGATAATTGCTATCAGCTCCCATTTATAAATATATGTGCTCACTAACATCACTAGAAGTTTTTAAATTAGAAATGCCTTTTCAGTAAAGAGATTCATGGGGCATTTTGTTTCCATGCATGAGAAATTAATTGGGTAATTTTACAATGGCATATAAAGACTGTTGATTCTAATGTAAGCTAAGAATTCTTGGCTTTTGTAGTTCAGTTGTACTATTTAATATACTCGAAATTCCAGCTATCCATTTTTGCACTCCTGTGTAGTCTGATAGTCCTTTACGTGGATATCCACATTTCTGAATGCACAGCCAGCTTCTGAGAAGAAGCTGCACTCCTGAGAAGCTCTTTAGCCTACTTTCCAATCAGTATTATTTTTGAAACATGAGTTCAAGTACATTCTTTTCAAAAGATTTAAAAAAAAAATAATTTTGCTTTCTTACACAACATATAAGGAAAGCAACGCTTTGGGCAAACTAG